TGCATAACTAGAAGTTATTACACTGAATGATGGGAACTTACTTCCAGATGTCTTATGTGGGTGAAATAAGAAATACGATATTGCAATCTCTTTCTCACAAAAACATTAATTTTTCACCTGGATTTTTCGGATAAAATTTTGTTATTCAAGTCGTCGCAAACATTTTAGTTTATAAGAATAACGGATTTCGAGCATCGTAAAATACTACATAGCGTGACAATTAAAACACATGACGTAATTCTAGCTATTTATCAGCGTTGCGTTCAACTAAATGTTACTTTCTTGCTTGCCATATATAAATGCTACATTACGTTTATGAATATTTAATTGTTATTACTGCGATCGGGCTCTGCGGAACTGGGTCTCTAACGGACCCTTTGTCCATCACCCAGATTATATATTAGTGAATATGAAGTAGCAGTGGAATTATGTTGACAGCAAAATACCTAAAATCTTGGAGGAAAACTTGTCCCAGTGCCACTTTCTCCGCCACAAATCTGGGCGCAAATTCGGGCCTGAATGGTGAGAATATGGCGACTACCCGCCTGAGCTATGCCACGGCTTTCTAAATGTTTTACAGATTGCTAACTTTTCAATACTATACAATAATAGTCTAATATTCTCCGGTGCCAATTTCTACGATGCTACAAGGTACACGATTCCAGAATGTTCATCTTCATACTTACATCAAACCCAGGTACAGCTAGTAACATGCCATTATAAAGAGATGCAATTTGCACTGCAGATCAAATCCAGGAATTCCGTTTAATACCTCAATGAAGAATATGTCGCTGGATGGATCTTACTACAGCGCAGGAAAAGCCACTGTAATTCTTTTAAGCGGTTGGCTTATGAGGATTGATGGGAAACCCTGGGCCTCTGTTGGACCAGCTATTTTATCAAATGTAAGTTCTGTAAAACGCATTCGAATGTTTCTCGCCTGAATATCTTAATACAGGCGTGCTTGAACTTAGATGCTGGACGCAAGAATTTTCTTGTGGGAATGTTTCACGGCTTCTGGCTTATTTATCTAGAAGGCCTATAAGAATACTAGAACTCTGAGGCTTTGGCTTGAGAACCTCCTTGTGAAAACGTTTTAGAATTATTTGGTTAATTTTTTAAGTTTAAGAGTGTGTGAAATTACAAGATTGAACCTTGTAATTATTTTTGCACATATGTATTTATTATATAATTATAAATGGACACTAATCCATTACTACTAGTATTGCCAAACGTAGCAGTAAATATAAAAATGCTATAAATTACACACATCGCATATAATCTTGTTTTGCCAGACACCAAATGAAATGTGATGATTTGTGTGTGAACATGCCAGAACATTCTATTCAGCCAGCAAGTTGCAATACACGCTTCACATAATTCTTTATTGTTTCCGTCCCACATGTAAAACGTCCAGATACCTGGATGTAGTAACGATTGACGACTGACTGAAGGGTTGATAGATTAATGCGTTCAAAATCAGCATAACTCCACTAGTTAGTGCTGTCAACACAATAATATGAGACTGATACTAACATGGTAGTGGTAATATTACTACAATAATTTTAAATATGCAGGTTTATGCAGAAGTATATAGATAAACATTTATGTATTATTAATTTCTCAGTTCTCCCTTTTTCAGGTCGATGCCAATGTTATATATGCTAATTACAGCTATGTCACAAGTAACATTAATTACCCACAAGTTGTGTCGGATATTAGAAGACTGGCCACACTGGTATGCAAGTAAGTACGTCAGATATAGTACATACTATTTTAGAGAAACACCACTAGACAGTTAGTTACGAAAATTAAGAGCATAAAAATTGATGAACTTTGTACTTTTCAACTCATTACCTCCTTTATCGCCTTCTTCACCATAATTACCTCCTTGTCACTTTTCCAAAACTAAAGATTAAAATAACTATATAAAATAATGTGAGATAAATCTGGTGCTCTGCGTTGAGCGAAGACGAAAGACTCGAGGTAACTAGGTAACTTAAACGGCAAAGTTCTGATAACATTTTTCGCCAAAGGGGAGCGAAATAAAGCGAAGAGAATGCCTTCACAATTAAGACATTTCTATATATAAGATCTAAGGTTCATACAGCGGTGATGATGCCTATCGTGGTCTTCTTCTGGGTTTCGATACCAAGTGGACTTGCAAGAGGGCACCAATGTTTCGGAGAAATATACTGCCTCGATCTCGACGGCTGAAGATGGGGACAGCACGTTTCATTGAAATGCTGATACCCACAAGTTCACACGGTGCCACAACCCAGAAGACCACGGTGGAAAAATATTTTCCTAGTTTGTTCGCTTCACTCAGTATTGTTACATTTATGAAGTGAAACAATTTGCGACCTGACACATAAGAACATTATTTCAAAACTTGTTACTCGAAACCCTCGTAATAAAAGAATATTTTGAAAACAAAGGCATAATTTGAATATAATATTAAAAGGAATCTTAATTGTTATCAAGAAAGTAGTCTAGACGTAAGTGCATTATTTAAACTGTAATTAAAATAAAACTTTTATTTATATAGTCCCTGCAAGGGACTTGTGTTTCAACTTTAACAGAAGCAAAGGAAGAACACTAACCAATTGTAGAATGTAGTCTTCTAGTTTGTAATCAACGTTTTGGAGAAACATACTGCCTCCATATTCATGGTAAAAGACCACAATCCACAGTTTCACAACCGTGTAAACCTCAAATCAAATATACTCTAAAATACTACTTGTTCCTATAGGCGTACATGCGCTACAAAATAAATTTTGTAACAATTTGTAAACTTTTTTTCATTCGAATTTTTATTTTTTAAGGTTTGTCTCCTACTTAATTGACGAGAAGGGTGTCTCTAAAAATAAAATCCATTTGGTGGGAATGAGTCTCGGGTCACATGTAGCGTCCTACGTAGGCAAGTGCATAAATGACCTCGGCAGAATAACAGGTAAGATAAAATTTTCAATCCTTATCGTCGTTTTCCTAAGTACCTTCTGGAAAATTCCGGTATAGCACCTGAAATTAGTCCACAACCATGATGGTCCAAGTAAATAAATAGTAGGATTTAACGAAAGTACAGATGCATGAACGGTGTCATTGTTAACAAACAAGCGGGTTTAAACATTTTGGGGCCCATTAGAATTACGAACCAAATTCCCTAGGACATACGTACTTATCACGAGGAATAATGAGTAATTATCTTTCAGTTTGCTGTCAAAAATTTAGCAATCTATATTCCTGATTCGTGTCTTCTTTAAGCCGAGTGTGCATACAATAATTATCCTACGGGATACCATATATATTCGATACTGGAACTGCTAAACGCTGGCCTTGTAATCCTGGGGTCTCGGGTTCGATTCCCGGCGGTGCCCGAATTTATAACTTGTGTTGGGCAAGGCCGTGGTCTAGGCAACACGGAGTTTTCCTACGGGGGCTTCCCCGGTTTCTCCGTGGCATCCCAACAATTACTCCATTCACACACACAGAAGAAGGCAATGGCAAACCACGTCTGGATCATCTGCCAAGAACGTACATGAACAGGTCCCAGTCCGAGAAAAAGATGGAAGGATCCTGTTCATATGGACCTATCGTCAGACAGAACACTAAAAATAAAAAAATAAAAACTGTATATGTTCTAATTTTGTAAACGGTTGTAGCTTTGTTGAAATATGTATCACGATAAAGAAGACAGCTTCTTTAGCTGGAGATTAAACCCGGGTCTCGTACACTCTGACATATGGAACTTCATGCTAATCGTAAGCATTATGTGATGTGTCTGCTAGTATATGAATAACGAGACAATGGTCCATTCGTAGGTCTAGATCCAGCTGGACCACTGTTTAATGGATTCAACTGCACCATACATTTATGCAAAGGAGACGCTCAGTTCGTGGACGCGATTCACACAAATGGGAACCCAGTCTGGGGATTTGGGACACACACAGAAAACAGTAAGTACTAACTACAGGTTCACTTAAGAATTAATTTTAAACGCTCCATTAATTTCATCATATCTATCCGTCCACATATAACGGCTCGAACAACCTGAACGAAAATAGCTTAATTTCGGTTTGGTAAACTATACTAAGTACTGCCCTGGCATTCTTATTTAATCGAATATATGTATATACTTGCATTCATATCAATGGAAACATACCGTCAGCTCGCCGTTGCTACTCACACTGCTATCAGCCACTTCAACAGTATACTTCAGTGCACTGTACATAAATACGACATGAATAAATACGCATTTAATGTTGCATTTAATTATTTCTAGCACGGTTTTTCCTGTTTTAAAACTATCATGACCTTTTAACCTTTACAAATTGGGCACGTGTTTAGAGGAATGTTTATTCGAAATTAAATGATAGTTGTACCAGCGAAGTTGGCTTTCTGGGTTCTAACACCGTTAAGACTTGTAGATAGATACTAACACTTCAGAGGAACATACTGCCTCCATCTTCACGTCAAAATTTCCTGAAGACAAATGCATTATGATCCTCCGAAGCCTTGGTATCGAAATATGCTTAAACTGCGCTGCAATCTAGAAGATCAACAACGACATCTTCACCGCCCTGACAACCTCAAATCCCATACTCTGTAATGAAGTATTATGCCACATTTAAATTGTGTTACATAATAAAATGTATTCACCTGTGAAGGAAGCTCGAGATAATACTAATTGTAGAGGCGACTTCTATCACAATTAGAGTTCAAGAAAGCATCTAATTTGAGGCCACAACAGCCAAGTCTTTCAAAACCCTTGGAAAGCAATTTACACGTTTTACCAAAGAAATTAAACGATACATACATATTCCGTGTAATTTAAATAGAAAATTTAGTACTGATTTTTAATTTCTTTCATCAGATGATGTTGACATCAATATGAACGGAGGATGGGACCAACCCCTGTGTGGTGTGCCAGACAAAAACACAATACCCAATATAACTGCGGGAAACTACACTTCAATGGGTAAGAATCTGTACGCATGTAGCGAATTTTCTGTATCCCTCTCATAGCACCGCCAGTAATTCTTTCTATCTTTCACACGAAAATGTTGTCCGTTACTTTTCAATCATTAAACATTATGGTATATAAAACAATCATGTTACTAATGGTGTTGCATGGGCGTAAAACATTGCCCTTTGCTTGTACGAAAAACATAAATTGCAAAATTCCTGCGCAGAACGTGCTTAGAATATCTGTTATTTACATCTAAAAGTGGTAAATGTAAGGGTTGAGATAAAGTCGTCCTTTGCACTGAACTGAGTACCACACCATGCACACATTGTGGCTAGAAGAATCCTGTCCTGCCAGCAGTCAACCTCCGTTCAAGCAACCCTTAGCCCATCACTATACTGACTGCGTTCTTACTACAAATTTTTGAAAAAATTTACAATGAATATCGTAAGGTATTATTATTATTTGGCCTTGTTTGGCCGTTGTCAGGCAACTACATAAATTAAATGAATTAGATTAGTAACATATTTTAGCCTTTGTGTAGTAATTGAGACCTTCCCATCCTTATGAAACCAGACTGCTGTATCTGTAGCAGGGCCATGGTTAGCAACTACAGACCTAATCTTTTCCTAACCATTTCTCCAAAAAGTTGTACTTTTTTATTTATGATCATTTCTGTTGCTTTTAAAGTACAGACTTTAACCTTCTCTGCATGGCTTCCGTAAAAATAATTCCACTTCGACCAACCTGGTTAATTATCTTGACAATGTTATGCACTCTGTGAGTACACAGGGAAAAAGTGATTTTATATGTTTTGATTTAAGTAATGTTTGGTGTATTTATCTCTTGATCTTTCATGTAATTTGTAGATTTTATTTTATTATTTTATGTTGTACATATTTCTTTGGTGTTTTCTTCTAATTGGCCTTGTGTGGCTGTTGTCAAGCACATCAATAAATTAATAACACTTTTTATTATTGATTTTCATAACAGATATACTGAAGACATTCATGTGCTCACACCTGCGTGCGATATATTATTACGTTGAAGCACTAAGGAACAGGAATTGTACATTTTGGGGACAGCCTGCAAATATGGTCAAAATGCATGTGAGGTATGTAAAGTTATAAAAAGCAGAAAAATTGTGGTCTCAAAGCAGACCTTTAAATTTATATTTCGAGAAAATATGGGTGCGGCTGATATTTGCACTACCTTGAGCTGCTCGAATACTGTAATCTCTAATTCATATATATCGCTCTGGACATCAGCGTATATCTGCATCATTTTATGTCGTAACATGCAAGAAGTATGAGGGGCATCCAAAATATTTTGTGAAAAATCTAGCACATTAAATGCACGCTTTACACGCTACGCATGAGATATATCGTCCAGGAACACCAGGTTCTAGTACTCTGAATTTCTTTATATCGTTTTACTCAAAATTATAATGGAAAATACTAGTTTTCACATTCTATGATCACAGAAATCGCATCATAAGTCTATGGAGAATTCTATCAGGGAACAGTCATATATAGTAACGAATTACAGTATTACCACCACTCAAAATACAATAAAAGCAACCTAGATGCAAATGATGGAATATCCTTCATTTGCATCTAGTTCTACAAGCTCGTATAGTTTCGGTGTAGCTGACACCGAAGTAAATGAAACTTGTTCTTAATTTCTTACTTCCCATCGTACTTCTGAAATGAAATGTTACTGTTAGCTAAGTAGAAACATTTTTTGATATTTTAACAATAGAAGTAACGTCTATGTTACCAACAAAAAGTGCAAATTTAAAAAAAAACACTCAGTATTGAATAGGATAGTTAAAACTATGAAAAGAGAAAATAAATCCAGAATGCTAAAAATATTTCTATCGGGCTAATCCGCTCTGATCTTGTGTGAAGTTACTAACATGAATATAATTATCCTCTCTACAGTCGGAACACTTTGGGGTACGGTACAAAATTGGTCGTAGATTCTGCGACGTGCACGAATGAAACCTGCGCTGCAATTAAGCTTGACATAGCGAGTACTGAACGAGGACAATTCATTGTTGCGACAAATTACCTAGAACCATACTGTGGTAAGTTAGCAGCTTAAAATCTTATCTGAATCACAGTGGAAAAATAGATATATACGGTGTTACCTAACGCCATGAAATGACAGTCACTCAGTAAGTTAAAAAAACCCGGATTTTATGTAATCAGAAGTTGCATAGTCGTACTCAAAAGAGCCCGCCGCCGAATCGATCCCTATCCCGAGCTATTTCAATACAGTCCAAACCAAAACACTCCATTTCCTTGGCCATCATCACCTATGGTGCCTCTGCCTGTTTTCGGGCCATGACCTCCCCACTTAAGAGGATTCTTGGTCTTTTGAAGCGTGCATTTGTGAGTAGTGAGTGACCAGCTCACTGACTCCGTATCCTTGATATCACTTCTAATAAACAACGTTTCGCAGAATCTATTAGCTGCTTTAACTCTGAAGAAGGAGGTAGTACGTCCTCCGAAAAGTTGGGTCGTTTTCATCTTTTCGACAAGGTATAACACTCGGAACAATGCAATAAACGTGGATGTTGTGAAACCCTGAAGCATTTACCAACATACCTACCTGACCACGTACCCATCTACGTACCGACCAACCGACTACCAGTCTGTCTGAACTACTTAAGTGACTGATATTTCAGGTTTTCACGGCAGTGAAGCTGTTCTTCTTGTTTGAGATGCCCTGTAATCTTATGTGTGGTTACTTTAAACCCAAAGATGTAGGCAATAAGTTTTTTTAAACGTCGGTGGCCATTTCAACCCTAAAAATGAAGGCGATACTTTCCTCCGAAGTGTTGGTAATCACTTAAAAGACTGCACAGCGTCACAATCCAGAAGACCACATTTCACATTTATGTCCAATTAACTAACGAAGAATATGACTAAGTACTTTCTAATGACAGAATCTTAAGGTTCAACTCCCACGCCAAAACCTGGCATTGACAAGACGCTGCCTCAGTTCCCGGTTAATATCGTAGAGTAAAGTAAAGTAAAGTTTGTCCCCACGCCAAAACCTGGCATTGACAAGACGCTGCCTCAGTTCCCGGTTAATATCGTAGAGTAAAGTAAAGTAAAGTTTGTCCCACTATACGCCATGTAGGCGCTTGGGGTGAGAGGAGGTATAGCTCCTCCCTTTCTTGACCTCGGCTCTAGATGGGGGTGAATGATCAGCCAACTTTACCCCCCGGGAAAGGACCCCCATACCCATTGCAGAGGAGGCTGGGTGGGCCCCAGAGCCGGTCTGGACGCAGAGGCTAGAGGAAAAATCCTCTGCCCCCGTCGGGGATCTAACCCCGGTCGTCCAGCCCGTAGCTAGTCACTATACTGACTGAGCTATCCCGGCTCATAATATCGTAGAGTGTGTTCATGCCTACGTAGGTCTCTATTTTTACTTTTTATGGAACTGAAATTTTTCACAGATGTCACGTGCTGTGTTCACAGTGTCGGCACCTGAACAGGAGGGAGGAATTTTCAACTCTCTGATGAGTATTCTCCCGTGAAGGAGAATGAATTTTCTTTCACAAGCAAAACTGAAGACTAAAGATCGAACAACATGAGAAGAAAACTGGAAGAAAACGCATCGAATATCTTAATTCAGAACAATACAGTCCCAAACAAGCACATTTACAGAGATTTGCGTTTTAAGTTCTTTTTGGTAGCATCATTTTGTGTACAGATGTCATATTTAAGAATCGGAAATATTTTAGCCTCTATCTTGATGACGAAATGACTGTGAAATAAACTTGCCCTCCTATCTGTAACATGTGTCACAGCATCAGAACTGTTGCCAGTTATTTAAGATGTGAGTTGCAATGTCTCTGAAATGTCGGCACACCGAACAACCACACTACAGCACCATCGCCCATGAAGAAAATAGTACCCCACTGTGAAAATCTTAAAGATTCTGAAGCACAATTTTTATGATACAGGTAGATGAAGGAAATAGGGCATAAAGCGTTTTACATTGTTTTTTGTTTTGTTACAATATTAAATTCTCTTTAATGCAATCTAATACTTTGCCTTTTATTTTTGATGTTATCCCTTTGATCAAAAAGAGTCCTTCTGCTAGATGCGCATCAGCTGCTAATGTCATCTGCAGGGATTTGGACATATTCGAGACGAAAATTGTCACACTTCTTCACATTTTATAATAGTATAATTTACTTAATTGATTCATGTTATTTTTACAAACATCCTAATGTAGTAATTTTTGTGTATTTATTTTTCCGTATCAATGTATTTTATATATTGCTTGTTTTACCTTTTATGTTTTATTGTGTTTGTGAGTTTATCTCTGTGCTGTATCTGTAATTGGCCATCAGGCTGTTGATACAGCACACAAATAATGAATTGAATTGAATTTACCTGTTGTTTTGTATGTATGCGAAAGTATGTTTCTCACCTTAACAAAGGATTTTTGAGCCGGTTGAGAATAGAATTATGAGAAGGATATTTTAAACTTAATAGAGAAAATAACAGGATGACAGATATTTTACGAAAAGACTAGGTTCATAATTCGTATTCTTCACAAAATGCTGTGACCAGCCAGTCCTTTCGATACAGCTTTAAATAATTTCCAAAGCTTTGACATCCTAACGTGAGCTAGCCAATTCGGCTCCAGTATAGGAAGTAAACGGGATGGTAAGCAATGCAGCAACGGCTTATTTAATGACGTCTGGTCTGGATGGACACACTAAATAACGTTTAGGTGCACAGTATAAAAATCATAATTTACGAAGACGAAATTTTTCAGGATTTGGTATTCAAGTCACACGTTAAAAGTGACGTCTGGACACCCAAGAGTAATTAATAAGGTAATCCAAATCGTAGAAGTCTAACGTACCAACGAACCGAGTCTGCTAATCGATCAATTAAGTAGGCATAATAGAAATTAGTTACCCAAAAAAACTTTTATATGGTTTAAGCCGTTCATAACACGGTTCAACAAATCGGCTCATTGGTTCAAAAACTGTGAAAGGGAACAGACTAAAACACTACGCAGAAATTATGTATCAAATGGCGTCATGTACCGACACTTTTCCATTTTTTATATTTATACCTTGTTTTCATTTGCAAAAAGTAAAAAAGAAATATAAAATGTACATTTAGTATTTCTCAATCCACAGATAAGTCGAGCCACTTTCTCAATGCTATGTGACGTGTTCCGAGGCTATCTAATAGAGATACTTTCGTCCTTCATTAATCACATGTTTTTAAATATTCGAAACAACTTTTATCAATATGCAAATTCTGTGGTGCTAGGGTAAAGAGGAAAAACCATTAAAGTCTAAGAAACGGGAAACAATTCTCGGAAGATTCTAAAAAAATCATGTTTATTGATTTTCAAGAAAACTGTAGAATTATTACACAATTTACACTTTAACTTAACGGTGAAGTGACAGTTTTGCTAAATTGTAGATAAGGTGAAATTAGGCTGTAAAGTTACAACCATACTTCCATTGTCTAAATTGGACTAGTGCTCTTTTCCCTGGCACCGACTAATTCAAGGCTTCTCTGCGTTTATTTTTGTACCTTGAACAACTACTTCATATCTTTTCTTGAATGTGGAGCAAACCTTTTAAAAATTCTAAGCCCAGGATAAAATAAACATGAAATAAATAAGAGCTATAATAACAAAGTTTAAAACCCTAGTGCTTGACAGACCACCACAAATACAAGAGTGGCCACATTACTAAAAACGCCATGCATTCCACTTTCTCGTGTTTTATACTGCTGCTTCTTGTCCCTTCATTAACCTGCGGTGAGTAAATTAACTAATTAAAGTACAGTACAGTAGGGCACCACATATACAGCGAAAAGCGTCGAAAAGCGGATCTTTGCCTTTTTTCACTTGCAAATGCACATCAAAGCCTAACAAGATGTTTACACTGTCAAGGGAGGTAAATCGGGGTGAGGATGAGAAGGCTTTATAAGTGTAGTGAAGTGAAGAGAAGGTCCTGATGAAATGTGTAATTCACTACTGTTACTGTCTTATGTCTAGTTGGTATTAATTTTTAAGTTATCTACTTATTGTAGCACCACTGCCACTGGGTAAAAACCCGTTTGCAGTTAATAATAAATAATAATATAGTAAGTGCACAATAGCTCTAGGCCTAAGAAAATTAGAAAATGACGCCGGACACACTTCTCTGACTCAGCTGTTGGGCGCGTGGGGTCGAAAAAGTGGGGCCCTACTGTACCGATGATTATATTATACGTAGCTACATTTGGTGTTCGGTAGAAGGGACGGAAATTGAAGTTGTCTTGACTTAAGCCCCTTTTTACCGACCACCAAATATTTTCTAACACTAAAGTGAAGCTTTCTCGGCGACTGAAGTTTATGAAAAACTCTTGGGTTACAAGCCGCGTCAGATAGCTGAATGGTGAATAAACCACATATTCTGCCAACGTTTCGAGTGCAATCTCTGCTCTCATCCTCAGGGCAGCTGCGTAACAAAACTGATCCTTTGTAGCGCGCTCGCCGATGGGAACTGGCGGTGGACGGCAGGTAGTAGCTCGTAGTATGGTGTTGCCGGAGGCCCGTCCTTTGCTTTGTTTTGCGGTTTGTAACCCGAGAGTCTTTCATCATTTTCTAACACTGCTGCTGAATTTGGTTACGTGGCATCCCTGAACGTGCCATGAAACCAAAATTAGCAAATAGATCACAATACCTCTGTTCATGAAGAACTGAAGTCGTAGATTACAATACTCTTAAAACTGAAAATAACTGAAGAAACAATTAAGAATGCCGCCAATAAAAGTTATTAAAGCACTGTATTGGGCCGAAAAATATTGGATAAAATATACTGAAATAATGGTCTCACATGAGATTACCAAAAAAATTATAAAATAATAACGTAGAGAAAAATTTATTCAGGAAAAATGTCATTAGATAAAAACATTCTGTTGTATAGGCTAATAGTTGTGACAGGGCAACTATACCTCATATTAAGGTTAATGATGTTATTGATCAATAGTCATTCCAAAGACCACAGAATTATTTTAGGATTCTGCACAATTCTTCAGTAGATCTTAATGTGCAAAATTTAGTTAGCAATTTTCTTCCTACAGCTAAGCAGAAGTGCTGTCCCGATAATGAATGTTATGATTTGGGCCCACCATGGCAAACACTCACACGGCCAGTTCCAGAACCCAGGTGTATACAAGATCCGGTCAAATATCTTCTTACTACCAGGTATGAACAGAATCAATACACCCTTGCTTGAATTAATCTCTTCTTCCCATTATCACTGTTAATAATCACCATCAGTAATGCCAGAATAATATAAGACAGGCGTTTACATAAATCAAAGCTTTCATTTATATTGTTGCAACTATATTTCCAATTTAATTTAACTGCTATACAAAAAATTACAACAGATGACGTCACAAGAACATAAACGGAACTCAGGAAAACCAGCGCTCAGGTGGAGATATTCAGAGGCAGAGAACAAAAATCAATTTGCCGTCACCCCGATTTAACGCCCGTATTTGGTATTAAGTAAAGTGTGACGCTCTAATGAGTATGACTGTACAAATAAAAGAAACTAACCGGATACAACCACATTAAACGAAACGACTATAATACAGGATTATTAAAACGACGTAACATACAGTGAAGAAATAAAATAAGCTTTTATTACATTTTAATAATGTTTTAATGTAACCTGTACCATGTCAAATTTGGATATTTTAATAGCATAGAAGTAGGCTATGAATGCCCTTTGAGAGTGACAGAATTTGACCGAAACATGTAAAAAGTCGAAAAGGTGGCGATTTAAATTATAAGTAATTGTGTACTTCTACACATTGGAAAATGATTTTTAAGAAATTAACATGCTGAGCCCACCTGATATTTTATTACTGATTTCCTACGAGTCACACGGCATTACAACCCACACCGCCGACATCAACATCTTCACCGCCGTTCGACGCTATAGGCTATATTCTGAGCTACTGAAAAAGCGTCGTTAAATGAACTATAAATGAATGTACACCGCCGTCGGAAACTCAAATCTACATGTTTCGATATTTCTCAGACTTGTCTCCCCTTAAATGACGTAACAGCTTTACTTTTATCTAAAAGTTTATCAGTTATATATTAAGCATCATATGAGAACCTATAATTTTAGTTTAAAAACTAAAGGAGACAGGACAAACATCACCTACAAAAGCTATGTTTGGTTTGCTTTCTCGTAAAAATAGCTAATAATAACAGTTCCTGCCTTGTTAATAGCACTATAAAACACACGAAACCCAGAAAGTAGGCTTTGAATGTTCTTTGGAAAATTAGACGTAATAACTTCTATTTTGGCTGTAAGGCTTTTGTTAGCCGAACTTACGGCCGGAATCAGCCATGATTCTTTTAAACCGTAACAATTATTTATGATCATAGCCAAAAATCTCAGGGTAGAGGGAGACCAATGCATGCACATTGTATTACATGCAAATGAGATAATAGGTTACAGTGCAAATGGAGGGCTACGACTATCTGATACCCGTTTAGCTACACCCCTTACGTTCTGAGGGTATGAAACAACTTAACATCTAGAGTTACAAACACCTACAGAGTATTACTGCCAAAATATTCATATTGGTTTGAAATTTTCTTACAGGTTGATGCTAATGTTTTTTTCGTAGACTATGGCAAGGTTAGTGTTAACTTGAACTATGCACAAGCTGTATCGGACTTAAGAGTTGCAGCGAGATATGTGATCAAGTAAGTAAATTACCCACAAGGGATGTTGTATAATTAAAAACTATTTTATATCGATAGTTGTCATAAAATGTCCTACTTTTTAAGATTAAAATACATCTGCATCGATATGCGAATTTTTCACCAAGCTTTACTGAAGATTATCCTACTAAATTATCGTCTAACACGCACGTAATACAATACGACACTGTTGAAAAATAACATATTGTTATTATTTAATTTGTTAATTTGCTTCAGTCACAACTTTATATTCATTTATTAGAAAAATCCTCTATATCTAAAATAATTACCCTACGCTTACAAACTGTATTTGCCCTCTTAGATCATAAAGTAGAGATAAATAATTTTATATACTTCATTGCTTTCATACTCCGAATATTAATAGCTCATTCCCAGTTGTGTTTAATACAATGTACCTATTCGTATTTTTAAAGCCATCATATTTGATTACAAGATTATTTATTTCCTGTGTCTTCGCACTGGGTAGCAGGCTGAGACCCAGAGCTTGAGTGGACTTCGTATTTCACCTCCGACCCCAAAAATAATAATACGTCTTGTGATTTTGCTGCTGTAGCTTACAATCCTTCAGAGAATGAACACCATTCTACTAAATCAATTCAGTAGAATCGAATAAAATGATAGCCTCAAGCTCTTCCTCGCTGATTACAAGAAACTGTCCCACATGACGTGTTCTTCCTCTTCTTACTGTTGTGAATTTGGAACTTTTTTCCAGAATGGTGGAAACTATAATCACAGCAGGGACCAACCCATCCAACATCCATTGCATCGGACTAAGTTTAGGGGCACATGTATGTGCTTACGTAGCAAAGGGAATACCTGGTATTGGTAGAATAACAGGTAATTTGTTATTAAAGGTATACAGGTAAAATCTTCCCCGTTGTTTAATTCAGAACGACGCCATGAAGCCTATAGTACCACACATAATTTAACGTCGGCACTAGATTAGTTATTAACTTAGCAACAACTTTTACGAAACAGCCGAAGCAGCGCGTCTTTATTTTATTATGAAACAGACTTAATACGTATTATTTGGTGCAATAAATAAAGTTACTTAAAAAATCACGACATTAAAATAATTACATTAACGTATTGAAATATTTTGCGTCCAGACTGGTACTGGGGCCCACCCACCCTCGTGTCCAATGGGTATCGAGGTCCTTTCCCAGGGGTAAAGAGCGGCCGGTGCGTGATGCTGACCACTCACCCCTATCTAGCCCTTAAATGACGTATAGCGGGACAGCTTTACTTTTATGTAAAAGTTTATCGGTTATATATTAAGCATTATATGAGGACCTATAATTTTAGTTTAAAAACTAAAGGAGACAGGACAAACATCACCTACAAAAGCTATGTTTGGTTTGCTTTCTCGTAAAAATAGCTAATAATAACAGTTCCTGCCTTGTTAATAGCACTATAAAACACACGAAACCCAGAAAGTAGGCTTTGAATGTTCTTTGGAAAATTAGACGTAATAACTTCTATTTTGGCTGTAAGGCTTTTGTTAGTGTAAATATTAACGTTTTTAACACTGAATCTTGCAGGTCTGGATCCTGCAGGGCCACTCTTTACAGGCCAGGCTTCAGAGGTGCGTTTAGTTTCCGGAGATGCAAATTTTACGGATGTGATCCACACAAACGGAAATCCTCTGTGGGGACTTGGAACATCCGATGAAGACGGTAGGGAAATGACTTACTAAGAGGGAATCAGACCTGGCTAAAGCAGCTAGCATGATACAGCCCGCCGGATGAATATGTGATTTTAAAAATAAAGTAATATTATCGTAATAAGCAAACTGCTAGTAGCGTAGGAAACAAATATCACATCCACATTGGCGTCATTTATGCAGAAAAAGCTGGCTGCATGATTAAGATTTTTAAATGTGACTCAGCTGCAAAAATGCTTGTTTTCAACATAGTAAAGAAATCGAAACATTAAAACTAAAATGTAATGTAGGAATTTTAGCAGCCGAAATTCGCCCACACAACCGCAATCTTCATGATCTACGGTTTTTCGATCCTGTGGCTATTGAACCTCCATTTTCAGGCTTGAAAGCATAGAAATAGATGTCAGAGGCAGTTACAATTGCACATTTCTCATTGCACAGAACTACAGACAGACTGCATTTTATTAATTCCTGAAAATGGTAGCCTATTTGTACGCATCCTACATGTGTCCGCATTATTAATAATGCACGGATATCACTGCACAGAGACGCGCAATAGGTAAATTGTAAGGTAGAATATATTCGTAGGCTATGAATGGAACTACAGAAAATCACGAGGTAAGAAGCAGTTTTCAGAGAGTATGCAGAGAAGACAAACATTTGCAAGCTTTACAGTTTGTAGGCTTATAACAAGTACAAATACTTTTAGTTCAATTTTTAAAGGATATTACACTATTACATATATTTGTTCTAGAACGCTTTTATTTCATCAGGTGATGTGAATTTTTGGGTAAATGGAGGTTGGGATCAGCCGAATTGTGGACTGTTAATAAATCCGTTGTTTTTCCTGCACTTAAGAGAAGTCAAAGGAATTGAAGGTAAGAAGTGAAAACTGTAATATTTGTTTAATATAAAATGTATAAAGTAACTATATAATTAGTTTTAAAAATTCTAAATTAATCTGAAAATTATTTAATCTCGGTTTAAATATATTTTGTTTGAAGAAGTCTTAGTAAGCTATTCTGTTGTCTAAAACCATGTTTCGAGCCTCAGACTTTCAAGTGTTAGTAGGTAAAGGTCAATACGATAGCATAATATGATTCATACTTGAAAGCAGTAAACGCCAAATTATCAAATCACCAAACTACTTAACTTAAACATGACCCATTTAGATGGAAGTTATTAAAAATGGATTATTTAGAATTATGGTTGTCGGCCGTTTCTAACCATTAATCGATCAAGTAATTATTGTAATATACGAATAATTGAATACTTTGATAAACGTTGTCACAGGTTGTCATCGAATTAGGTAACAGAATTTTGTTTTCCTTCTTTCGAAGGGCGTAATGTTGGGCTTATTAAACAATTAGCCTATAGAGTAACATAATAAGCTATTCAAGGCTTCGTCGATTAATGAAACAGTTCTGTCTATCAATTTTGACGTACTAAATTAGACATAACACGGAAGTAGGTAAGATTTTCATTACATAATTTGTTCTTATTTGTCTTTTACAGATGTACTGGATATGTTATTTTGTTCCCATGGTCGTTCTATGTTTTATTACACTGAGGCATTAGCAAGTAACTGTACGTTTTGGGGTGTGAGGCCAAATAAATTCAACATATGGATAAGGTACGATATCTGATAACCGTCGAAAGGAACAAGACGTCTAATTGCCTACGAGAATATCTCATCTCACTGGCGTTAAAATAACTGTGGAAATAACTCCTGACTTCCTGTTTTGCTTTTGTGGAGTACAATGCCGACATATATGGACGTTTAGGATTATAGTGTCATATATTCTTAACCTGGGCACTGCATAAAGGTGAATGGTCAGCTTCACGCTTCTGCTGCTTTCACGCCGCACAAAAAGACCTCTGTATACACTCCATAGCCACTTTAGACACAGAGACAAAGATAAATTTTGTCTTGCTGGATGGAACCCCGGTTCTCAAACATAGCTTCTTTGATGCTAGTTCGATCAGGCCCCTGCTTCACGAGAATCTCTGTTTTCTCTTAATTTTCCCTACTTTGCAAAGTACCATAACAATGCGAATAATTTCCAAGTATTTTTAATTTAAAGAGCGGCGGGTCAGCCAGTGACTTAAGAAAGAGGTGTATGAGAAACGGACGGATGGCGGTCCGAAAGAGAAAATATTCATGCTACGTGCTCGATTCGAAACGACTAACCCAGTGTCCCCTTTGACTCTTAACTCTGTATTCCCAGACCGAAAAATGAGACGCATTCTTCAAGTCACTTGTGCATTTCTCAATTCAGATAAATTATACTGTCGAAAGAAAATTGAATTATTTATTGTATGTAATGAAAATTACTGTTAAAGCAAAAATGTTTCAATATACGACTCCTTTGACAGTCGAGCGACGCTGGGAGCTGTGACCAAAAGCTCAAACAACTGTACCATCGAAAACTGTGTACCAATGGGGATAGACACGATAAATGCTGCAGGCAGAGGGAACTTCATCGTGGCAACAAATTACAAACAGCCTTATTGTGGTAAGTTGATTCAGCTACGCAGGTAAAGCAAGAATTTATATGAAAGAACTCACACTCCGATAGCAATATTTATAGCAAAGAAACTTTGACCTTGTTTAGGTTCATCGCAGTTGCAATAGGGACCAGGAAACATGGTAACAAATATTCTGGTTTCATAAAATGCGGATTATTTCTTGATTAGCTTCTCAACATGGATTATGTTAGATGGAGTTAGTTAGAAAGCAAAACATTTATACATCGAGAATTTTAATAACTTACACACTATTTAACTATCAAAACCGTATTTATCTATGTCCACAGTGTCGCAGCCATGAACAAACTGGACAGTTATAAACTTCAACAATATCGAGAACTCGATATACGATTCCTAATACGCAACGAGACCTTAGGAACAGAGAATGGTTCAACATTATGCCTGTATAACAGCACATTTTAGCAAATACACATATCTTGAAAAACCGCTCAGCTATTAATTCAGATAATTGAATCATTCGGCCGGGAAGTATTTTGGAAACGTGTCGGTTGGTATGCAATGTGTTAGGAACACAGACTGCGTGGATTTAATCGCAGGGACAAATCACACAGCTGATGCAATGGGTTTACCAGGAACAGGTTTCCTCAAGCGTAAGCTCAAGCGTTAGGGAGTGAAAGGTTTCGAATTTGGCTGCCCGAACGTTTAAGATTCGTAAAAAGAAGAATTCTTACAAAGTTAATCACACTAACAGATAACACATTACCTAGCATAAATTACTTTTTCCTTGAATTTCATTAAATACAGACAAATACAATTACTGAAAATGTTTTCAACAGATATAGGTCAAAATTAAATCATACGAACCAATGGTTTTGTACAATGTTATGCAATTTTATTTTAGCTTCATATAACCCATGATTTATAACTGGCCGAAAAAAATCAACATTAAATCTCTAGACAAATGTCTATGTTTATTCCAAAGCAAAATTTGATCAGAATCCATTCCTTACATTCAATAATTTCTGGTAAGATCTACTGTTGGATAATGCAAATCATTGCGCCTAGTAAGTAACAAATGTTTCCCCGCAATACAGCACTGTCAGAGAAGTTGCGATAGTTCACGGAGCTACCAAGCTCAGAGGCAATGATACGATGTTATTAACCGACCTCTTGTAGAGGCTACGATCTTATTTCTGCCTTAGGAGGAGAATAAGACTATGGAAATGAAAATAGGTAGAAAATGATCGCTTCCTAAACATTTCGCTATTCATAATTACACTGCACCTTGCAGTTAAAAAATTGTCGTTAAGTGATTTAAGTATCAACTAAACTTATTGTAGGTACTGGAAGGTTTAGCAAAGTGCGCATATAAAACATATAAGACAATGGTCTTGGTGTTGCAATTTCCTACAGTAAGGACGAAAATACGAAAAATAAAAATATTAATATCTAATTATCATTCAATCAGAAAACAACTATTTTATGTTTCGGGCTTGAAGAGTTAATACATTTTAATGACATTTAGATTTGTGGTCCTTGTTACCTCAATATTTTTAAGATAAGTGATGGAGGCAGTAAGGGTCTCTGAAGTTATGTTATTAATAGACATATTTCTACCCGAAATAATACAACTGAAACAATTGTATTTGGGCATTTCTTTCATATTTTACTCACAAATAAAAATCTGGTGAAAGGTTATATTGGATTTGGTTAATTTAATATAATTAATTCTATTACAAATGGTAATGAAAACTATCGAATTAAAAATCGAATGTTCTATCGACAATTCTATCCAATAAATTTTTAATAGGAAGATTCGACATAATCGGTCATTTTGTAAAACTTTCGAATGCATTCGATTATAATAATTTCCAACAAAAACCTATGAACTGTCCTTCAGTGGTTATGTACTACTGAATAACTGTTACACGCTACCCAGGCATAGCAGATGGAGTAACAAGCAATGTGGAAGAAACGGATGGCCACAATTAAATTGAAAACAATGAAGGAGAGAGAATAAGAAATATAAATTCAAATACAATTTTTCATGCTTCACTCACCAACATTCTGCTTGCTTAAATAATGAGTTGTGGCCCTTCCATTCTGCGCCTCTCTGCAGGTCATTTATCTGAAAAATCATATTCACAAACACTTATGAAGGACAATCAGTCTTCCAACGACACCAACGATGTCGTGCCGTGTAGTCTCGTAGAAAGTGACTGACGTTTCAGAAGTGCTTACTATCACCATCATCAGGGCCCTGATGATATGAATTGACATCTAGTCTACCTCTCGCCCATTATTACAAAAGTTCTATAAATCTCAAAAAGATAACAATTGTCATTAAATACGGGTGTATGAACACTTGGCAGCTTTAATACGAAAAAGGAATTGAGATCAGGTTAGGTTAGGTTAAGCCCTCAAATTGCCATGGCATGATTTGTAACAGAAAACTTCTTGAACACCTAAATGAATGTTCAGAGAAGGCCACTGAAGGAGGGGTC